TGGTATTCTTTGTATATTTCTATGCCAAAAATTCAATACGGCTAATTACCCAGCATCCCCAGCACTGCACAGGCGGCAGCAGTCGGTGCACAGTGGGTGGCACAGTCAATGAATGGACGGTTAAGGACCGAAATTGAGGCATTTGTAATTATCGTTTTCGTTTGGGTGTAGTTATGTGCACTGAGCCTGATTTTATTACCTCTCTGGCATGGAATTATGGCAGAGAGCAAGAGATATCATGTTAATCTATTGGGACTTAGTTATACGCTTTAGGAGGGTTCATATTTGCGGTGTTTAGAAAGTACATGACCTAAACTTCTTTAGTATAAGTCTCAGTGTAATTTCAACCTATAAGTTTTAGCTAGAATTTTCCTTGAAGCTCATTCTATCATCTCCCAACTTCAGATCGATATGGAGAGCATCCGCCTATTGCTTTACTTAAATCGATTCCATGGCAACTGCCACCAAAATATGTCATTTCAAATATCAATTACAATTCTAGCTGCCAGGAGGCAACATTTTGAAATTCCAACTTCGATGGCATTTCGTGACCCAATTTTCATAGAAATTGCTCCACTTATTGACCATTGTGCGATACCCGGACTTTGGAGACCATTTCTATATATCTTTGTGTGTGTGTGTGTGTGTGTGTGTGTGTGTGTGTACGAGTATGTGTGTTTGTCTGTGTCGAGTGCAAGTTTTGGTCGACGTCGTCTTCATTGTTGCTGTCCTCGTCCTTGGCGTCATCACAAAAGTTTCTACTCCATGTGCCTGCTGGCGGCATGTGTTCAAGAGTTAAGTTGTGTCGAGTGTGACAAGACGGGGGGAGGGGTTCTGACTGTGCTGTAAAGGGGGCCACAGGTCCGGCTCCAGCTACAGCTCCAGCTACGAGTGGGTATTGGGGGTCTTCTTTGTGTGCTGACTGCACGAATTTAAAGCTGCCACACTCTCTGGCAAACTGCTTCTTGACTTCTTGCTGGGAGGCAGCCAGCCCGTCAGCTAACCAGCTGATTACTTTGGCATCTGTTTGGGCACATTGCGGTCCTTGGGCCCTCCGGCTCTCTTTCAGGATCGGGCACAGCTCGAATCGCGTCATGCTTTATTTATTGGCCGACTACGATGTCATAAAAGTCATACGAAATGTAACCTTTTTCGGGGGAAGCCCCCACAATAAGAGGCGACACACATTAGCCGTCGCTGACTCCGAGCCAGCGACAATGACAACGCAAAGTGCCCTGTTATAATGATAATAGGAACAACAAAAAGGAGAGGCAGAGTAGTGGCAGCAACAGCAGCAACAACAACGATAACAATTAAGGCAATATCAAATTGAAAAAGTTACTTTTTCTCTCACAACCTGTCATGGCCTGTGGGCATATCGAGAGGGTGCCTCAAATGATGATTAAGCAAAATGCGTTTTGATACGGCGATTATAGATCACAGATATGGCTATGGTATATATGTACGTTTTATGCGAACAATGGGTGCTGCTTGTAGGGCAGTTTTATGGCCTGGCAAGCCGTAAATCAACGCTAATTAAATAAAAATTGCTTTTGCGTCATGAATGGTGCAAGAAATGAGGCGGAAAGGCGCGCAAAAGGGTGAGCTAATTGACTTGCTCTATAGGAAAAATATATGTCACCTTCTGGCTCTTTAAGTGTCACAATACTGTCGGACAAATGTCAGAGTCAACTTTTTGATTTGTGTTGGGAGAACTTTGAACGTTCCTCTCGGAGCTTCTCGAATGTTTCCTAGCACATATAAATGCGTTTTTAATACAGCTCTTAAATGTGCATGCAACGTTTTGCGACTTCCAGCCACTAATGAAAGAGTTAATTGAATTTTGTGCGTGTGTCGGGAGCCAAGGCAACGATGGCAAAATATAATTATACATAATTGTTAATTCAATTTGAATCATGCTGCAATTTGTGCACAATACTCTTCACGTATTTGAATTAATTTAAAGCAACTTACGAAGAGGCTAGCTAAGCCACAAACTGGCTGCGAAGTGCAACGGAAGTGAGATTAATTAGGCTTAGAGAAGTGTTTGTGGGAGAGTTTGTAGCATTTTAGTGGGTTTTGCAAGTCAATGCTGATGATGTTGACGCTTAAATGATATTATACCAATACAGAGGGACAATCTACATAAAATGTAATTATGCTTTGGCATTGACATGTGTTACCAGAGGAAACTTTAAGGCGAGAATTATATTGCTGCCATGAATAAATCAGCCTCAGTGTCAGGAATGCATAAATTTCGCAGCCATTTGCTGACTGCGTTCCATTGATTAAACAATTCTTTTTGTTATTCATTCATTAACTGGTGTGGAGTGTTCTTTGCTTCCATGTTAAAGAGTTCTTTCGCCTGCGAAACTTTATTCAAAGATTTTCGCTCAGAGCACTCGAAGCAGACCTCAACAGCTAGCCGATGGTTTAATCATAAGTGGGAGGAAACTGAAGGCTGTTATGCGTTCCATTCAGCTTCGTAGAAGGCCTGGGCCTGGGCCTGGGCCTGGGCCTGGCTTTCTTGACCAGTTTGTCTGCTTGGTCGGTTTGCCGTTTGCCGTTTGCCGCTTTTCATTACCCCTTTTATCATTAGTTTCTGTTTGAGTTGAGCTCTTGTGCAGCGGCCAGGGCATTTAATTAACTCAACTCAAACTTTGCATTTGACTTGCGTAAATTAATACATTGGCTATGTTATTGGCCTCCTGTTGAACTTGTGGGTACCACAGCTATGCCGGCCAACCCCCCCAACTTGATATCTCTGGCAGGGCATCTTGGGGGAAAACTTCACTTCACTTACTGCCGAACCCTTATCAACTTTGCCACTGCCACTGCCACTGCCACAGCTACTGCGCTCAGCTAACTTTGCTTATAAATTTCATTCGAGTCATTTGTTGACACTCACACAGATACAGCCCCACACTATCACTAACACAAGTGCACACAATAGCAAAGTCGCAAGTCGCGATTCTCTAGCGAAAAGTTGTTGAAGTTATCTAGGCGACGCAATTTCGTGTTTTTGCTTCTTGTTTGAGGCTCTTGTTCTGCGCTGCTCAATGCCTTCTGCCTTTTGTTTGTTGTTCTTGCCTTTTGTACTTGTAAGTTTTGCTGCTCGAATGTGCAAATAGAATTAAAATGCAACGGAACTAACCCAATTTGGATTCCTCATTTGTTGTAAAAAACTCTGGCTATATTGGATGTTAGTTAATGGTGGAATGTATGTGCTTTAATTGCTTTAATGCAAGGCAACATGCAGCTGGGAGAACCAGTGATGCCTGTGGGAAAAAGAGACACCTTGGTAAATGCTGTACATGCGAGTACATAAATTTATACATATATACGTACATAAATACATTTTTCGGATTTACCCTCACGCTGCCTCAACATTAATCGTTTCTCTTTGTGTTTTCATATATTTTTCTGCATACCTTTAAGTAAATAAGCGGTTTACACCCTTGATCTTAGCTGCGGGGTGCATTCAATGTGCTTTACTTTACTCCTAAGCAGCTTACTGGGCATGCCTAGGTCGAGCATCGGCTTTTCTGGTGCTACACTTTTTTACCCTTTGGCTTTGCACTTGTTAATCGGTGATAAAGAACTCGACAACACCCACCGCAACGCCATGACTTTTCTTTATGACAAATATATTCATTTCATACTTGTTCATGGGCAACAAATCGCGTGACACGCTGACAGCGGTACTTGCCTTTGCCGCTGCCTACTCCTCCTCCTGCCGCTGCTGGCTGTCGAGTGGAGAGCGTAAACTCAACTATTGTCTTCATTTTTCTTGCAAATCATGCAAGGCAATCTAAAATGTTGACACATTGGCAAACAGCGCACAAACAAGCTCGGAGCGCACACACGCCGACATGGGCACATCGACACATGCTACTCCACACCCCCCCAACAGGGCGAAAGCTGTTGAAAAAAAAGCATCCGGTGCCTTTGCCCCTGTCACTCAAGTTCAAGGTTCACACACGGTTCGGTTCTCGGTTAAGGTTGTGCTCTGCTCAGCGTATTAACGCTGAATCGTCACAAGTCTGCGCTTTGTCTCGCAACGAGCGCTGTGAAAAATTACAATAATTGTTATTTACGCATATCTGAACATGAAATGTGTCAATTGGCAGACCGACAACGAGCAGCAGGCGGGGCAAGCTCTGCAAACAGTCGAAAGAAATAACGTGGCGTATGCGTAATGTGTGAAAAGGGACACAAGGTCTGTCTGTCTGTCTGTCTGTCAGTCAGTCTGTCAACTGCGTGTGTGCTGCTCTATGCATGTGTGGAGTGTGAGTGTGTTTGATACAAATGTCATGCCCTAATAATTCGGTTCATGAAATGATTTAGTAATTGAGAATTGGATGGCAGCAGTGGAAGTACAGACCACAAATGAAGACTAAAATCATTAAATGAGATTGGAAAACAAAGCAAATAGTTGTTCGTTATTGAATTATGACCTTATCGATTTTATTTGCCAATTTAAAAGTGTTTTTCTTGCTCGTTTCTTCGCTTGTCAACTTTTTTTTTATAAAAATTTCAACAAGTGTTTATATTTATTTTTAATTAACAAATTTGTTAGGGTCTACCATAGTCGGGTTTGTCAGTCTGCATTGCCTCTAAACTGCTGTCATTGTTGCCCACATTGCTGGCCCGCTGCCTCCCCCCCCGTGTCTAATGCGACTAATTTGTTAGCACAGTTTTTCGTTTGCCTCACGCCCTTTTCAACTTTAATGCTTTGCTTTTTGGCATTTTCATTGTGTGTGTGTGTGTGTGTTATTTTTTGTATTAAACCATTTAAATTGGCCACAATTAGCGGACTTTAAAACAAACCCAAATGGTATTGGCATTAAATTCAATCCACACTTTTCACATTCGACTATAAATAGGATTTAACAACGGCCCTTTGACTGGCATTTTGGTGGAAAACACAGACGCGGCTTGTCTGAATTGAATTAAATATAAATATCTCATATCTTGTTGGTGAAATTAAATATTAAAAAATGCGTGCCACATATTCGTGGCCACTGGCATCGTTGGCCGCGTTGCTGCTGCTGCTGCTGCTGCTGCCGCTGCGGGGCACGCACTTGACTGGAGCGTCGGCTGTCAGCATTGGCGCAGCTGTTGACAAGGAAGTGGCACCAGTTGGCGATGTAACAACGGATCTGCTGTCATTGGAGCCGGAAATTGGCGGCTCTGCGGTGCGGACGGCGCAGCAACGAGGCGGCCGTCGAGCGCGTGGCATCTTCTTTAGCGGCGGCATCACGGGCTATCCCTTTGGCGGTTGGGGCGGTTGGGGCCAGGGCTATGGCTACGGCTACGGCTATGGCTCTTATGGTCTTACACCCACGTACTATGGCTATTATCCGGGCTATCTGGGCTATCAGAAAATTATAATCGGCTAATGCGTTGGCCTGAAACATGAAAACATGAAATTCATTCAATGTGAGATTATAAATAATGTGCATTGTGGCCCCCAGTCCGATGACCCCTTTAGCTGTTGTAGCTGTAACTGTGGCTGTTCCGAGATACTTTGAAATTAATTTTGCTGGACACATAAAAAGTTGCGCCAAGTTTGGCCGCAGCGAAAAGAAAGAAAAACATGAAATTGCACGATTTATATTCATTTTGGATGTTGTTGTGTTGTTGGGGTGCACAGATTTTGCATAAATCATTTCACAGCCACCAAAAATGAAACGCGTAACATAATTTTTAACCCTTGATCATTTTTTATGACAAGCATTTTCGTTAGCCCACCCCGCACACCCGCACACCCGCACACCCGCTTCCTGCAGTCCTTTTCGTCCACTCTGTCGCTTTCCACTGGCCGCCGTTGGGTCCGAAGTGAAATGCAAATAAAGCGGATCAAAAGTTTGCTGTTAAAAGAAGATTAATTGCAATTTGGTGGCAAGACCTGAAACATTGCGACCCACCGTCCATCCCAGGAGGGGGGATGGGCTTGGGCCCTACTGAGGGATGGTAATTAAATATTTTAAGCTGTAAATGGTTTCCATTTGCTGGACTGTTGTTGTTTGTCCTGTTGCTGGCCCTTGCAATCAATAAAATTCATTAAGCGGTGTACTACCCACAAACAAAAGCGCCCCCAACAATCGCAACATTTTTGGCCCTAGCCTAAGTTTCAATTGCCAATCAGTAGTTGAAAATGTTGTTGTTCGCCCTGCAGCTATTGCATTTATTTTTTCAAGTGCTCATTGCTTATTCATATTTATAATCATTTTATTGCTGAGGCATGTTGATTTTTTAATCAATTTACATAATTTATGTGTTTTTTTCGACTCATATCGATTATGGTTGTGGATGTATTCGCTTTGTGCCTGGCTCGCCAACATGTCGCGGATTTATGTAATATCAAAATAATCCGCTGACAAACAGTTTTGATTGTTGAAATATTTGCAATTTAATACTTGTTCTGATTGCGGGACAGCTTACCAGTTCATCAATATGTTCTTTCAGCGTTTTACTATATATTTTTATTGAAAAAAGAAAAACGATCAAGTATCGTGTATGTCAAGGAGCTTTTAAATTGGTTTTTAAATAAAGCACTTCAGGGCGAAAACGAGTGCAAATGTTCACAGAAATATTCAGGCACATGTACGTACATGTGATTAGGTATTTTCACTAATTAGTGCCGCACCCCCCGCTGAAGTTTCTCGTACAAACACACACCACCTGTAATTAATAGTTTGAACCATTACACTGACAGCGAAGAGACCGAGCCAGAGCCAGAGCCCCACCATGCCCCACCATTTCCAGTCACTCCTGGCAGTTCACCAAATTGCGGGTATACGAAAATTTAATAGAGCTGTCAGTCCAGGGCCACTTTTCCAGGTGGGCGGGCCCCGACATTCGTCCAACCCAGCGGACAGACAGTAGGCCGCCGCTGCTATCTGCTGCCTACACTGGCCGGGCCTTTGTGCCCATTGTTGCTATTCATAATTGAAACGAGGTCAAAACCAGCGAACCTCATTAAAAATTGAATTGTTTAATTTTCATTTGATTTAATTAAGTTATTTGTTGGTCAATTAACCTTTTTGTTTGCCTTTTTTTTTGTCGTTGTTCCTGATGTTGTCTGACATATCAATGGGGATGTACGTATGTAAGTATGCACACAGAAACGCGGTACATTAAGTAGATACATATACTTGTTTGTGCTGGACATAATATTGTTATTACAGTGATGATTGTTGCCACAAAGGGAAGTCGGAGAGAGAGAGAGAGAGTGCCGTGTACGCTGTGCGGCAACGTGTTGAAAATTTATTAATTAAAATACTTTTCAATTAAAGTTAATGCGCTCAGCATTTATGTAATGCCATGTGTAAATACGCTGTAAACTTTTGCGCCAACAGTATAATATGAACACTTTGTACGCTGTCTGCCAATTAAACAGATTTTATAATGCCACACGGAGCGTTGCACGTGGCTGGCTTAAAGCGATGCCCCTCCACTCAGAGCACCAATCCAATGTCAAGGATCTCCTCTCTCCAGCGCCCTTTGTTATAGCCTCACTTATTTTTTACTTAGCACTTGGTGAGCGGCTTAAGCGGCAAACTCCAGCAGTCGGCGCGAACTCGAGGCGAAATTCTGCTCCTTCTCGGAGTCTATCCTATCCCATTATGCACAAATGCACTCGGAACGGCTGAGCGCTAAGCTGCTCGAAGAGCGATAAACAATATTCGTGATTATGAAAAGCGGAACATTCAGGGCTGCCTTTTTAAAGTAGAAAATGCAGGCAGCCATAATTCAGATCTGGATATCAGGAGTGCAGAGTTTTTGGCATAATTATTTGCTGCTAAAGACCGAACTGAAGCCTTTTGTGTGTGGCACAACTGAACTTTGAATTTGGGGGGCTTCTGCCTTGGCCAAAGATGGGAAAAGCATTGTTCTATTACTTATCTCCGTTTGTGGATGATTGCTTAACTTGGGGCAATCGGGTTTGGCCCACAAGTTTGGGCAAGGGCTGAAATTTTGTGCACCCATCAATCCTATTAACTGTACAGCAAAATCAGAATCACATTGCTGCCTTGGTCGTAGAAAGCAATGCCATGCAATTGCACTTCATTGTTCTATGAATCCGCTTACCTTTCCAGTACATTACGAGCTAGGCCTGGCTCTGGCCATGGCCATGGAACAAGTCTATTAAGGGAGAGCATTCGGTCGGCTCAAATAATCCAAAGGCAGGCAAGGCACAAGCTCGATCCAGCAGACAACAGCCTCAGGCCTCAGCACTGAGCATATACTGCACGAGAGTAGTACATAGATATGCATGCGGATATGTGATGGGTTTGGGGATGGGATGGGATTTCATGTACATATATTTTGGCAAAGCATCGCATCGCATGGCATCGCAGCGCATCGAGTCGTTTTGCCGCAAAGGCCAACTGAAATGAAGTGTCATTGTGATAGAGCCCCGGCAATGCAGTTGTGTAGCACTGCAAG